TAGCAAAGTTCAGTGGTCACCTTCCTATGGGTCCTGCATGTCCAGTTGATACATTATTTTCAAGCAGCCCAGGCAAGAACAGTTTGTTGCCCAAATGGCTATTTTTGCCAAGAAGAAGATAAACTCCATATAGAGTGTCTTAGATGCCTATCCTCCTTTCTGAAGCAAATCAGTGCTGCCAGGAGCAGACATGTCTCATTTTCCAGAAAGTCTAAATTTTTAAAAACATGTTGAATGCCATGTTCTGTGGGTCTTTGAAGTATTTGAAGATTACCTATCTATTTGAAGTATATCTATGTATACCTAAAAAACTTAACATGACTATAAGTTTGAATATCATAGAAGACTAATTGTTCCATTACAATTTAAATGAACTGTATAAACATAATACCTTAAACAAGAGTAAAAATATACATACAGTATAACAAAATTAACTTTAAATTTGTACCAATAAACTAAAATCCATAGCAATGTAAAACATTTTTAAACAAGTTGCTCTTTAAAAGTATGTTCAATAATCTACCCCTTCATCTTATTATCTATACTGTCCCCTTTTGTTCTTTAGAAAGAGAGTGTATTTATAATCAACCTGTTTTAAATAAAAATATTGGTTTTTCTCTGTCTCTTCTGATATGGGACAAAAGAATATCTTAACCTTTTTTTTTGGCAATATGCTTGGGTTTAAAGAAGGAGTAGGCCAATTCCATCTCCAAAGTCAGCTTGCTATATTTGGGAATTTGGGCGTAGCTTCTCTTACTACTTCCTGGTGGAGGGGGTCACTGTATCTTATGGGGACATAAAGAAAATTTTAGGATTATACAGTAGTCCTTGAGGGTGTATTGTCTGAGCTAATTGCCTTGAAGCCATTCTGGATGTTGGATCATCTGGGCCATGGTGTCATCAGAGACCTTTCAGGGGGTTTTGGCTGGTCAAACCTGATGTATATTAATCTGGAACAAATCCATAGCTTCTGGGTTTCTGTGGAAACAAAAGCAGAGTCTCCTTTCCAAAGCAACATATCCTTACATCTAAATTTTGAAGTCAAGGTACCTTTAAAATATACATATTGGCTTAACTCAACAGTTTTTAAAATCAAATGTCTTTCTGCAGTTAAGAATATCGAAGACAACATAATCCAGATTCTCAGTGTGATATCCATCTTTATGTGGCTTATTTTTTATATTAATTTTACTGTCTCTCTAAAGACTTTATTTTTAAAAAATTTAAAAATTTCTCTCTTTCAAGCCTATGACCATTTTCATACACATTGTAAACTATTCTATCTGAATCTGTCTTATTGTGAGCCTATTGTTTTAAACTGCAGCAATTAGTACTGAAGCAGAAGTCTTGACTGTTAGCTCCTCCCAATTTAGCTTTTTTTTGGTTTTTCGAGACAGGGTTTCTCTGTGTAGCTTTGCGCCTTTCCTGGAACTTGCTTTGGAGACCAGGCTGGCCTCGAACACACAAAGATCAGCCGGGTTCTGCCTCCTGAGTGCTGGAATTAAAGGTGTGCACCACCACTGGCCAGCCCCAATTTAGCTTTTCAACATGGTGGAGATAATTCACCGCCAGCGCTGGGAGCCATATTGGATCTATGCTTCTATCCAAGAAGCATGGAGCACAGAACCTTTTTTTTTTTTTTGTACTAGCAAAGGCTAAATCCACCATGCAGCATAATGTGTGGCTTGGAGGCAACTCATTCCCCCTATGCTGATGGTCAAGCACTTGCACACCAGGAACCCACCATATAGTAGCTCAAACCTGCAGGCTGCTGCTAACTTGAGAAAAACAACTAGGAATCTGTTTTTAACTCTTTTTTTAAATAATCTTCTTTCTCAGGTTTTAGATAGCAACTATTGCCAACCCATTGGGCACTACCCACCAACTGCTGGGCATTCAGGATTAACCCAAAGCTACCATCTATTGTCTGGCTTGTAAAAAACTGGTCCCTTGAGTCGGATATCTGAGGCCAATTTCTCTGTGCATCAGAAAGAGAAAACTATGAGGCATTAGCTGGTAAAGGGGAGTGGGTTTATTCAGAGTTCTGTTTATAGCTAGAGAGAGAAACTTTCTTAGCCTCTACCCACTGTTCTCATACTGGCAATTTTATAGGAAATCTGTAACCAAAACCACCAAACAGGCAAGTATAGATTTAGCTGTGAGAAAAAACTGTAACTCTGAATGTCTACTAGAGGATGCCGCCTCCTAGCTCTTTCCCTGGCCCTAGAGAATCTCTTGGAGAAACTGGAACTTTGGTATTTCCACTGTCAGTCCCTATTACATGAAATACAGTCATTGCGTCATCTAGTGCACTTCAAAGGACAATGCCTGTCATGACTCTCCTATCCCTAATCTAGCCCCTATTTTCCTCAATCCACCTCAGATCCATGATCATTTCTGCTCCCAGCATGGCCTTTCCTGGTCACAGAAGGGAAATAGAAGACTAAAACAACTTCTGCATCTGATGTATTAATCAGTATTTATTGATCCTTTGATTGAGCTTCAGAGAGAGGAAAGAAAAATTTGCAGAGAAGCAAAATGTTTTTAGTGGGGAGATAAAACCAATGGAGAGAGCTCTAAGGTGCAAGAGGCATGGAAAGTTTGGAAGTTTGAGCTGAGACACAGCAGCCCTGTGTTGCTGGGCAGGTGTTGGGGAAGAAAGCCTGTGTCAGGGCCAGTGACTAGCAAAGCATCTGGTGACTTGAGGAATACACCAAGTTGGTCTTTGTGTCAAGGGAAGGCAGAAGGACTTGGATTGTACATCTGTCCCTTCTGGAAGACCTGGCAACTACCAACTGACAGCAACCAGGGCCATGTCCTTGCCATGGTCACATCACTGAGTCTTTGTGTTCAGTGTCCCCTTGTGCTGCTCCACTAGTGACCCGATCCACTGAGAAGTTTTCTGTCTGGCTTCCTCCCAGCTGACAGGTGGCTCATAGCCTAGATCTTGCTGAGCTTTCTTGTAGGAGAAGGTGAACACACAATTTGACAGAGTGACCAAGTGGCGGTTAAATGGAGGCCGGAAGTTGTAGATTGGACGCAGCAGGAAGCTCACAGTTTCCAGCAGGAAGGCAAGCCAGTAGAGCATGGGCAGAGGAAGGCTCCAACTGGAATCAAGATGGAAGCCCCAGCCCTTGCTCACAGCAAAGTTTAAGTCATCAAAGCTTTGGTGAGGAGTGTCATCTGATATGTAGTAGAACTGACCTTGGATGCTTGGTGACTTCTTGGGGTCTCGTAGGCCCCTGGCAGCCAAAATATGTGCCCAGGCCACATTACCCACATATACTGGGTTAACTGTGGAAAATTTGCCAGTAACATCCAGAATACCATTATTTTTGAGGGCCCTGATCATTATAACATAAATTATAAGACTCTTTTCCCCATAGATATACATAGGTCTTAAGGCACAAGTATGCAGAGTGCCACCATCTTTCAGGCTGCACCCATTGGCTGCTAGTACAGCCTTCTCAGCCATCTTTTTGCTATATGGGTAGGGATTAGACCATGTACTTTCACGATGTTCTTGGCCATTCAGGACAATCTCCTTGTAGGAGTTGGGCCCTGCAACATCAGATGAGCTGGTGTAGATGAAAGCTGGCACACTAGCTTGGACACAGGCTTCCAAAAGATTCTGGGTACCTAATCACAGAGAACACACCATCAGGAGATAGTTAATTAAGGGGGTTCACCATGTGCACAGCTTCCTGATTATTTACATCTTCTGGATAATAGAACAACCTTTACAATCAGTGTACGTTTCCTGTTTTCTGAACTCACAGCTACCTTCCTATGATCTGTGGACAATGGGTAGTTCTAGAGAGCAAGGCTCTCTTTTTTTCACAGCCCTGTGTATATTTGTGTGCATGAATGTGTGGAACTTGGTGTCCTTTACTGTCCAAAGCCCCTAAGGCTAATTGTTTATCTATTTTGAATGTGATCATGAAGTAATTACAATTTTATGCATATCAATTCATGCATGTGTTCTAGATGTACAAAAGCAGAAGATCATATTCTTAGACTATGAACAAAAATAGTTCCTTTTAACTAAGAATACTTCAAGAATTAACATCATCCAAGCTCAAATCCAGTTGTATACAGGTGATAATATGTTACACAAACATTTCATAGCTACAGTTTTTTTGTCATTTGATGGAATAAAACTGTTCAAGGACAACTAGTCTGAGTCATGGAACAAATGATTGCTGGGTTTGGAGAGAAATGGAGACACAACTGTGTTCCTTGGTGCATACACAATGGTGAAGCACTCTTGGTTCCATCTATGACTTTGTTGACTTAGTTGTACAAAGTAGAGGGGATAAATATTCTTTCCAGTTTAAATCTGAGATCCTAGCACTGACTCACCCCATCTGTTCCTCTTGGTAGAAAACTAAAAAGGACTGTGTGTTCCCTGCCTGGAATTCCTGTCATGGCAGACCCTTGTCAGGCTGGAATCTCTCTCAGAACTAACAGCATGCAGGTCTTGTCTAGGTCTCACCAAAGGAGGAAAGTGTGGATGGTTGTCAGCTGCGTGGAGTTGGAATCCAGTCTCCTTGGCAGGGAGGACCACAGAAGAGCTTTCCTTGAAGTTGGAGTGACATAGATGTGACTCACATCCTAGGCCACACACTTTCTACCTGCTGGGCCTTAGCCATGTAATAGCCCTGAAATCTTTGTGCTGGGTCTTGTGAGCACAGCATTAGAATCA